TGTGTTCCTGGGCCCAACCTCGTTCAACCACGACTTTAACTCATGACATTAACTGAGACTATGTTTTGTTTAGATTTAGCTGAGATGGCTGCAGCAGCATTGTGGTTTATCAAATGTATTTTACCTCACTGCTATGACAAGTCAAAGTTGCTTTCTCATCTTACTACTAGAAATTGTCAAACAAAAATCTTTAGAACTTACATTTTAAAAGTTAATAAAAATCAATACATTTTCCAATTTATTTTTAAGTTCTGCAGTATTATTAAATATATACTTTTACAGTATTGCTACCATTATGTTATAACAAAATACATTATGTATATTAACATTCATGTTTCTAAAGTTGTACTTAATAATAATGGACCTCATCCAGCTGCCCTTTGCATCCCAGTGATTACTGATCCTTTTTGTCTTCAGCACCATGAAGATTCTGTGGAAGAAACACAGAAGACATCTGGTATTTTTCAGGTATTTGCAGATATAGATATTATGTTATCAGAGTTTGCGCTGTGTACCTGGAGCTGATGATGTTCCCTCAATAGCCTGTCGTACTCCTGTGCCAGACCTTTAGCCTGCCTCCTCATTGCTTCAACTTCAGCATGGGACTTTTGCACAGCTAGACACAGAAACAATATGTATTTCTAAAACAAAATTTTAGAAGTAAAAAAATCCCACACTGCAATGTTTAATTAGCTTCCTATTGCAATGTTTTATAATAATCACAGGTTTGTTTTGTGCTCAGGTTCTTTAGTGAATTAAGTAATATTTACTTGCCTTCCTGTGCATCCCTCAGTTGACTTGTTACGTTTTTGATCTGCAACTTCAGTTGTTGCTCTGTTGCTGATGTTGATTTTTCCCCTTCTAGGAGAGCCTGAGAAAAATACTCATACTTAGTTACCAAGTTTAAACCATCAGACTAAGGTAACCAAAAAAAATCTAAAAAACAAGCATTAACAAAGATGCATTATTTATGAAATGTGTGAACATGATCTGTGCAACCCTGAAACTGAGAAATTGCTATGAGCATGAACATGAACCTCTAATACTCACTTTTTTGAGTTTCTCATTTTCCTCCTGTTGCTTCTCAGCAGCTTGGAAGGCCTGTTCTCCCTGCGCCTGAAGACCTGCGCTGTCCTCCAAGGTGGCAGCAACCTGGCTGAGCAAAGTGACAACCCGACGCATGACGCTGTAAGACACACAAACCACACAATTCAGTTTGAAAGCACAGTAGATAAAGAAAACTTTGAATGTAAAGTATACAAAATGTAACTTTTTTAAGTAATTTGATAAAATGATTTTTAAAAATGCACTAACAGCCAAAGGAAGAGAGAGAAACCACATATGTAAAGGTTTCTCTGAGCCCTGAACAGCTTCATGTGGACATGATCGTACAGGTTTGGATTTGCGTTAGCATCCTGCATGTCTGCATCCGAGTACTTCTGCACCTCTCGGATGGCGTCTGAGGGTTGACAGGAGGACAGAAAGTCAGGTTTCTGGATGGACATGTTGACAATTATCTCACTACTACTCAGATTATTCAGCAGTGTAATTATTTACCAAGGAATAGAACAATAAGAACCATGATTATTGCAAAGAAACATTTGTTCCAGTACAGAGACAACCAGCTCCATATTCTCCAGTTAAAAACCAAACGCCATCTAAAAGATAAAAGATAAAAAAGGCAGGGTGAGATTGAACTTTGAGGAACAAAAAGGACATGGATGCTCTCTGCTGGTGATTCATCTGAACTGCCTTTTTGGTGAGACTGGCATATAGGACTTAAGGCAGTTGAATGAACTTTAATGTGTTGCTTTTGTGTTAAAGCTGCAGTTACTGTACCGTTGTGCTGATATGAAAGGTACACACAGGATCAGATTAACTGCAATCTCTGAATAGAGGAAAACAGCCACTGTCGTCCACTGGAGGGTCATTGTGATTTTCTGTGGAGATTAGGTCATGAATTAGCGAAACATAAACATGAATAATACAATTCATATCTTAAAAAAATACAGAAAAGATAAAAGTTGCCTTTTATGGTCTATTAGACTTGTATACAAGTTTGAAATAAAGAAAGTTATAGGCCTCTAGCTGATCTGAAGAAATTACTTTCATTCTGAATTCTATCTAGTACCAACAGTTTTAACTTATTGTTTTGAAATAAGTATCTCTAAAAATCAATAAACAGACCTTACCAGGAAAAGATCAGTGTTGGAAAGTTCTGGAGAGTCCAGACCCCAGCTCTCACTCTGAGACACAACAGCTGCTAAGGACCATCAGAGGACACAGAGCCCGAAATAAAACATTACTAGTTGACCTCATTAGTTTGTTGCTTTGGCTTCAGAAAAAGAAAAATCTAAAACCTTAAAACTGTTTGAAAGCTTTGTTCTGAGTGGAGGCTGCAGAATGACTTCATGATGTATCTTTTGGCTTGAAACACATTTCCACTGGTGTGTGTGTGTGTGCGCGCGCGTGCATGTGCGTGTGTGTGTGTGTGTGTGTG